TCAAACAAATAAGTTAATTCTAGGTTATAGCGCAAGGAATATATTTTTTTCAATAAAATACCATAGTTTATTCTGTCAGTATAAATGACAACGACCTATGCACCACCATCTATTAATTCGGTTAAGTACTGTATTATGCAAAGTAGGTTCGTAGTTGTGGAACATTGTAAGACAAACCCATGGTAATTGATGCAGTTGCTTCGATAGATAAAGCGTGTTATGTAGGATAATTTTTAATACCTTACACAAAACTTTTTATAATTGTTATAGCGTGGTAGTTTTGTATATCAGATTTACTACCTTTTTACAGTATTGACGCTCACTTACCCAGGCCCGCGCCTAGCTCTTTGGCTCCCTTGTGCATTTTAACAAATTTCGCACCCAATTTTTATAATGCTGATATATGGGTAAAGGTACAGGTAAAAAATATGTAACCGAATGAAATACATATAATAGGTTGCAATTTCTTTTTATATTTTTTCATTATTTTTTTTTTCATTATACATTTTATTTGCCAGCTATATTATCTTTTTTTACTTTTGAGCCCTTTTGGCGCCCTCTACGCTTCAGCGCCGTCATGCATCGCACGACTTTGCCCTTATGTACGGCGCGGGCCTGCACTTACCTACATCGTTTGTCTCAGTCTCGCTACTGGACTTTTAGTACCACCAAATTAAGAATTTGTCTTTTCCGAACAAGTACGATTTTTACCTATTTTTCTTTAACACAATGTAGAAGTTTCTTCAGCATCTTTAATGTTGTAATTTATTGGTCTTGGATTGTTGAAGGACCCACAATTAATGAGATTTTCTTTTAACCTCTTAAAAAATAGCTTTATTAGGTTGTCTTCTTTCTGGATAGCGATTGAAATACCTCACATATGATATATAGTTTGAATGAGAAAAAAAATTACTTTTTATCTAAACTATAGCCAACTATGATTCTCATTTAAAAAAATACAGTTTTATGCCATAACTCGAAATTGCACCTTATTTTTAAAATTTCTTCGACGCCACTGTATTATAAAGAAAAAGTGCCTGAAGAATGCAAAAGTTGTTTTTTTATAATTTTACAAACAACCAAGATATTGACATGTGTCTAAAAGTCGAAAAATCGAACTTTTGTTTATAACTCGAAAACAAGTGACGATAGCAAATTTTTGTTTTAGCCAGTAAATTTGTCTCAAAAAAAGAGATCTAGAAAGTGTCTTCTATTTTTTGTATCTGTTACAGTTACCGAGTTACCCTATACTTGAAATCTGCCCACCCTGTACATTTAAGAAGCTCATTTACAAAATGCATATCGGTCCATCTGTAGTTTTTTAATTCTTCTGTCGCATTATTCATTTTCAAATTTTAATTACTGGAAAATCAATTATTTACATTCAACGCTGTGTTGTTGCCTCTTTTGCCGATATACACATATTTGACATGAATTCTCTGCATAATGGCGGTGCAGGAGCATTTAGTAAAATTTCTAGTGAGGGAGCACGCCGCCGGCTCGGGGGTATTGATCCAGGGTGTCTGTACCTCAGACGAAGAGCTGCTCCGGTCTGCACAACATCACTACATAGCAGCTATACTCTAAACAGATATACCTGGTTGGATGCTGTTGGTGGGGGCTCACTCTGTCCCCTTGTACTACTTGATCTTGGACGGTTGCCATAGAGAACCTCTAGTCCTGATTAGTTCATATTTCTTCAAATGCAGCCATACATTTTCGGCAAATCAAATATACCTGGTGAAATATATAATTCTATTATCTAAATATACAGTGGGTCCATAAGTACCGGATAAATTCATTATCTACGTAATTTACAAGTTATGAGTAAAATCCTGAAACACGTCAATTTTTAATTTTAAAATGAAATTTTTTGAGCATAATTTTATACTTCTCTTTCAACCCCATTGGAGTGACAGCTACACCTTTAAAATTTTAAATTGAACGAGGGTACGTGTGATAGCTCATTTGAAAGGGCTTTTAATTATCTGTCCAGCAATATCAGATTTTTTGAATTTTATATATTTTTCATCAAGAAAATTAAAATCAAAATGTATTTGTAATGTATACAATCAAATGTTATTTATGCCTATGTACCAAATATCTGTCAAATCTGACTTTTCTAATTAATTTTGTATTATAACATTCAATTTAAATGTATCGGTTTTTCTGGTATGCAGGTGGCTCAACAAAAAAAAAGAAGTAACTTACTTACTTTTACATATCAGAAAAAATTATACATTTACATTTCTTTATTTGATACATCTATACAAACTTTTGATTCTACTTATTTTCGCTGATTGTCAAGTTGATCATTATTTTAACAATGAGTCTTTCGGTTACCCAGAGAATTGAAATTTTGATATTATTAGGATGTAGTGATAAAACAATAAGGCAGAAGTAGGTGTGTGAAATCTTCAATACTAAATATCTTGACCGTCACATTTCTCAGTCAGTTAGTGGAATAGAAAACAAATTTCGTGAGTTTGGAAATGGCACAGATATTCCTAAATCTGGTAGAAAACACATTTTAGACGATGAAAAGAAATTTGATATATTGTTAGATATTCAAAATAATCCACATAAACCTACAAGATAAGTTGCCGCCGATAATGATGTTAGTAAAACGTCCATACTGCGTTTTCTAAAAGATGAAAAATACCGCCCATATAAAATTCATTTGGTTCAAGATCTTAACGACGATGACCCTGATCGCCGAATGGAATTTTGCGAAATCATGACAAATAGATGCCAAGATGATCCGTTATTTATAAAAAACATTCTTTTTTAAGATGAAGCAACATTCGTCTTAACCGAAACACTCAACAAACAGAACTGTAGATACTGGAGTACGGAAAATCCACATTGGACGATGAAGGCCAATACTCAATATCCTGAGAAGTTTTGGCTGGAATTATAAATTCTCAAATTATCGGACCATATTTCTTCGACAGCACATTAACTGGCGCGCGTTACTTGAATTTCTTGCAAAATGTCTTAGTTCCAGAGTTAAGAATACTTTTCCCAGACGATGATAACCCTAATGAAATTGACAGAAATATTTGGTGTCAGCAGAACGGAGCTACACCATATTTTGCATTGGAAATAAGAGCCCATCTGAATCAAGTTTTACCCAATAGGTGGATCGGTAGATGCGGTGAAATTAAGTGGCTTGCCCGTTCTTCCGATTTGACCCCGCTTGATTATTCTTTATAGTGTTACTTAAAATCGAAAGTCTACTTCAACAGACCAAATAACGTCAATGATTTAAAAGACAGAATAAGGCAAGAAATTAATCAAATCACCCCGGAAACGACACAAAATATTTTAGAATAATTTCATCAACGCCTTCATTATTGTCAAAAAGCAACGGGCGCCCAGTTTTAACATTTGATTTAAACTGTTTCATGTTCTTTTGTTTATTTAGTAATATTAAAAATGTAACATTTTGCAATAAATAATTAGAGAAATTCAAAAACTCTTATACTGCTGGACAGAGCATTAAAAACAAATGAGCTATCACACGCACCCTCTTTCCATTTAAAAATTTTAAAGGGGTAGCTGTCACTCTAAGGGGGTTGAAGGGGAGGTATAAAATTATGCTCAAAAAATTTTATTTTAGAATTAAAAATTGACGTGTTTCAGGATTTTACTCATAACTTGTAAATTAAGTAGATAATGAATTTATCCGTCATTTATGGACCTCACTGTATATCATAGTGCAGTACAACGACCTTAAAATTTAATAAACGTACATAGATAAATATTTACTCAAATTATTTATTACTTTTATAGGACTGTTAGATAATAAAACTGATACAGTTTTGGTTTATACAAGTTTAAAAAGATTACTCAGCGGGTTAAGCTAATACAAAAAAAATCATATCAACGTAAGTTTGCAAACACTTCTTTTAGGAGGTGTAGCTTTAAAAACGGTCAGCATATTTCGGTTTTTGGTATATCTTTAAAACTATTAGATCAGACTCAATGAAATTTGGTATAGTCATAAGAGATGCACAAAATAAAATAACAATAAAGTTAATGTGGTTGGAAGCATTGATGTGAAGCTAACACTGACGTGGTTTTACACAAAACACCATATACTTAACTGGACGCGCATTTCGCCATCCAAGTTGTCATGATCTGGAGATGATAATACCGCTTTAACCATCTTCAGATTTTGCTTCGTAAAATAGTTGGAAGTTTTTATGGAAACGACAAATAATTCCTAAGAAATTATCAGTTTTTGAAAACCTGGTATAAGTAATAGGTCCTACAAAAACTAATATGAGATAACATTTAGTTTCTAAATATTGAAGGATACACTACTTTTTGGTCTTACAAAAAAATATATTAACCCGAGTTAAATTTTCAGCGTTAGAAGACGTGCGAATTTTTAACAATTAAATGAATTTGAAAGATGTAAGCCAGTATTTCTTTTCGGAAAATTGTAAGGCATCAACAGTGATGCGATGTCGGAATACGTAGAAAGAAAAACTGAAGCATAAAAGTCGTAAGAGTACCCAAGGGTGTGCAAAGAACAAATGAAAGTGAAGAACACCCCTTAAGATTTATAACCCTAAGGGATCATTTCAGTATAACGAGATTAGTGGTAAATAAATAGTTAGCTGTCCATTAGCCCCATTTATCGAAGAATAAATTCATTTCATCTTCCATCGTATCTATGCCACTTCATTTTAAATAGGTGTAAACTGATAAACAGTACAGCGAAAACTTAAGTAATCATGTTTGTATCTAAATCGGTGAAAGACTGCGCTATCTATCACAACGTTGTAGTTCTATTATCATTTACTGTTAGACAAATGACACTTGTTGCTTTACAGTAATAAATTAAACACCACAGATAATACAACCCCCTGCATCCCTAAAGATACCTCAAGGTACCTTGTGTGGGAGAGCCTTGCAGATTTAGAGACAATGGACACACACCCAATATCAGAGTATGCTAGGATTAATTTCTGGTTTAGAAAAAATCCTAGCTTCTCAACGGGGGATTGAACCCAGATCTCCAGGGTGAGAGGAACGTGTCTTTACCACTCGACCATGAAACGAATATAAATACAATTCATTTAATTGTAAAAATGTCGAGTCATGCTGGCTCAAGACAAAAATTTTAAAACAAAAAGCAAGTTTGATACCCTTTACATGTGATAGCTCCTAAGGAGGAACCAATCAAATATCTTTACACAATTTTGATATTGTACTGTGCACGAGTTATAAAGATTTTATGTATATAACGTCATCCTATCAGACAGAACATTTCAAAACCAGAAGAGCACTGGGGGGGGGAACCCTAGTACGGAGGCTCCATCGCAGAAAGACGGGTGCAAGGCCTTACGAATTTTCCGCGAGGACTGAGAGCAGGACAAAAGCGGCTCTCTGACTGGCCATAGTAGAGGCAAAAGTTGAGTTGGTGGGGGGTGTCCTAAGTGCCCCGATGTCTACTGAAAGCTATTACGGGTGCTGAATCACGATTCTGTTTGTGGACTCACGATGGGCGCAGGGGAGTTCATCGTCGACGTATAGACGTGGCTAGATAATCTGTTTGGAAACAGGTCTTCTCTATCTTCCTAGAAAAGAACATGAATGCACACGAATACATGTAACAATACAAAGTAACCCATTTTTAGACAATTTCAATTTTAGATTCGAGAGTTGTATTATTTCTATAGGGTTTATTTATTACATGGTCTTGAAGTTGGTTGCGTTACCGTATTTTAAGAGGATTGAAAACTGTATTTTCCAGCAGGATAATGCCAGGTCCCATACTGCTATTATTACCAGGAGGTTCCTATACGATGCTGATATGAACGTTCTTCCATGGCCCGCAAAATCACATGATGTTTATGAGACATAATAGGCAGACGGCTAATTCGATTATCGGTGCCACCAATAGACCTTCAGCTCCTGCGACAAGGGGTTTAGATAACTTGAAGCACAATATTTCTAGAATACATTGACCACCTAGTTCGAAACATGCTTAACAAAATTGGATAGTGTGTTAAATTGAGTGAAGCACCAACTTATTATTAATTTTGAGGTAGATATCGTTATCTAATCATAACGAAATTTTAGTATTCAATAAAGTCAATTGTTTAGCAAAGAATTACAAAAAAATTTTAACGATATTGATATCTCATGTTTAATGCTATAATTTCAAGCATCACGCATTTTAGGAAAATATGAAAATTCGATTTTAAATGAATTCTACTAGTGCCCTATCCAGTGTTCGTAACTTCTGCTACCTATTGATTTATGCGAATATTGCGATTTGTCAATTACTAGTATCCCTCGGTTCATAACATCATGTATTATCTTGTCCGGGAGTTGTAATGTAGTGTTTTGTATCTTATTGAGCGGGAATGATTTGTGAGCGTCAACCTGTGACACATTTCGTGATATTTGATTTATAGTAGGTACTACAAACCTTGTATTCTGGGCCTGTTTTAATTAACACACATTGGGAATGTGCCTGATACTTGTTTGACTGTTATTAAAATAATAAATGAAGGTGTATTTCAATCATGATGGACATTTGTTAAGAATTCTTTAAAGTGACATATATCCACTTATACAGGGCTATTCAGATTTCTTGAGAGGTACTTTGAATAGTAACAAAAAAAATGCCAAGCTGCTATAAAGTTTATCTCGAAAGGACATCGCTTTTGAGTTAGAGTGATAATGTTATTTTTCTTTTATAAAATTTTCTGAGCATGTCCAAATACTTCAAACTAAGGGATTGTGACCCTTTTTGGAATCCAGAATATCTACGCTACTAATCTTAACCATTGTGTTTGGTGTTGTGATTTTTTTACACAAAAAAATCGGTGATTTTTTTTGCGGGGATTTTTTTCGACAAAAATTGACAAAATGTTTCCCATTTAATTTTTTTTGATATATCACGGAACAATCATTATTATTCTAAGAATACAAAAAGTACTGATTAAATCAGAAGGGTCTTGAAAATATTTTTTATACTCCTGCTTTAATAATAATAATCTTTATTGTTGAAATAGAGAATCCTAATATACAAACTTATTAAATATAGTGTAATTATGAATAATTCATCATAAATAATCATATTTAATTTATAATATTATACTAATTTAAATTTAGCAAGAAAATATATGCATATGTGTATGTGTGCACATATTTACAACGTAAATATATTGTTTTAATTTATAAATTCACATACATATATACATAAATATACACACACGCACACCTACATGAGCATACGCATACATACATGTGCAAATCGAGTACACATATTTTTATTTACTTATAGATAAATATAAAAACATAATAATGAACGTGAAAGTGCTATATATTAAATTAGTTTATGGATTTAATATAATTTAAAATTTTTCGTTTGAATTTCATTAACGAAATTGATTCCTTCACGTCATCTGGTAACTTATTATACTAACCGAGATCTTTGTAAAATAAAATTTTCATTGTTTGACTCAGATTTTGTCTTGATATATAGAGATTCTTGTTATTTCTTGTATTATATTGATGTGTTTGGTTTGTAAAAGTTATGTATTTTTGAAAATATTCTGGTAACAAGTTGTTTAAAATTTTGAAAATGAATACCACAGACAAATAAGGCAATCTGTCTTTAATAGATATCCACTGCAGAGAAGAGACCATATGTTGGATTGGAGTATATCTGTTGCATTTCAAAATAACCCTCATTCCTCTATTATGTAATTTTTGATGTGCAGTTATTTTGTTCAAGTCAAAAGAATACAAAATACAGGTACACACAATAATCAAAGTGTGGGTAGATAATGGTATTGTAAACAGTAATTTTAGTTGTCACTGATAAATTTTGGGATATTCTGGAAAAGAAATATAACTTTTTTGCGATTTATTTCTGTATATAAACAAAATGTGCATTAAATTGTAGATGGTTATCTAACATGAATCCTAAATATTTTACTTTATTGACCGTGTCGATTTTGTTATTGTCAATTTCTAGGGTTATTAAGTTAATGTTGATATTTGTATATTTATATGGTGTAGTAATAATCATTGCCTTGATTTTAGGAATATTTAATCCCAATTTATTGTTTTTCAAATACTGAGAAATTTTTTTGAGTGAGTTGTTCATTTAATGTATGGCTATATCTAAATAACCACTGCTTACTGACAGTAGAGTGTCATCGGCAAATAAGTTTAAAAAATCACAACAATGATATTCGTTTATTGTCATTGTTAAATATACATATATGTGTATATATATATATATATATATATATATATATATATATATATATATATATATATATATATATATATATATATATATATATATATATATATATATATATATATATATATATATATATATATATATATATATATATATATATATATATATATATATATATATATATATATATATATATATATATATATATATATATATATATATATATATATATATATATATATATATATATATATATATATATATAAAATATAATATAACAAGGGACCTAATTCACTTCCCTGTGGTATTCCATAGTTATTAGTTATAGGTGAAGATATGACCTCACCAATTTTCGTTACTTGTTCCCTATCAGTTAAATAGTCCTTCAATCAAGCTAAAACTTTACCTTGAATGCCACACATAGCAAGCTTTTTTATTAGTATATCACGATCAATAGTTTCAAAGACACGTTTCAAATCTAGAAAAAACAGCTATAGTGTAATCTTTATCTAATTTTTTGTTTCCATTCAGTTATTGTTAATTGCAGGGCCGATTCACAGGAATGATTTGTACAGAATCCAGACTGATTAACAAAAAATAAGTTATTACTGTAAAAATAATCTATTAACTGACTACTACTACTTCTAAAAGTTTTTCAGAACTTGGCAGATTATTAATTGGTCGAAATTCCCATGACTTATTAGTGTTGTTAACTCTTCTCTATAGGAATAACTGTGTTAGTTTTAAAATTATCAGAAAATTTACCAGAATAAAGAGAGATATTTATAAAATGCAACCAAATATGTCCAATAACCTCAGATGATGTTTTTATTACTTTAGAGTTTAGTATGTCTCTTGTGGATCCTTTATTGTTTAATTTATTTACTATCTTACGTAGTTCTTGCGAATTAATTAGTTTAAAAAACATTTAACAAGAATCGGTATAATTCACTGGCCAACATTTAGTTTGAAAAAACACCATACTCTCCCTAGGTACTTAGGGGTTTTTGGGGTCGCTGATTCCGATATCAAGGTCAGTTAAGCTCTATCATGTCAGGTTCAAAGTCAATTGAAGGTCAAATTAAGAAAAGTTGGTTGAAAAAATCTGAAAAAAATTCATACAAAGGTTTTTGGGGTCGCTGAGTTCGATACGGTATTCGCTTACCCTTTGACGGCATCCAGAGGTCATTTTAAGGTCATTTTGAGGTCATTTCAAGGTTAATTTGAGAAAAACCGAGGAGCTATCTATCGAATACTCAAAGTACTCTCTACTTTCATGTTCGCTCTGCTTCTGCAACTATACCTAAAGGCAATTCTTTGCGTTCCACAGGATTTATGTGGTGAATATAAGCTCGTCAACTTTCACAGAAAAAAAATAAATTAAATATATTTGCACTGAGATAATCGAAGCATCTTCATGTACAGCAAAAGCTGGCGGACGAATGCAGGTTAAAATCAAAGTCGGTCGTGTATTGTAACTTGAAGGTGCAGATCTGATAAAAAGGTCATCTAAAAAACTGATATTTGGACTTAGAATCCCGAAAACCTTCAGATTCTTCAAGTGTATCAATTCATCCTTATAATGACCTTAAAATGACGTCTAAGCGACCTTAATGGACCATCTCCGGATTCAGACTCAGCGACCCCAAAAACCTATGTATGAATTTTTTTAGTTTTCTTGACAGCTTCTCCTCTGTTTTTCTCAAATTAACCTTGATATGACCTCAGAATCACCTTGAAATGAGCTCTGAATGCCTATTATGTGTAAGCGAACACCGGATTCGGACTCAGTGACCCCAAAAACCTATGTACGGAGTTTTTCAGATTTTT